AGCAGTCGCGAGAAGAAGGTAGTCTTGGATACAGTAGCCGTTAGCATCTAGGCAGTACCCGAGTGGTCAGGACCGGGACGAGGAAGATCGTGGGAGCAGTCGGCCTCGGCACAGTCGTCGTGAACGCCGTCGATCTTCTGAGAAGGATATCGCAGACCACAAATCTGTCGAAAATACGGATAAGTCTGCTAAGGGATCACCATCTCGATCGTCTGAGGAAGGGAGTACCAAGGCGGTTGGGACCCGGTCTGCCAGCGGAGGTAGTGGCCGTTCGGAACACCTGGGGTGACTTGGGCATTTCAGAGAAACCTAGGGATTCATCACCCTCTACGGAGGCGGCCAACGTGACTGATAAGAGGGAGGAGAGGCGAAAGCGTCTCATGCAACTGCTTAAGGGAGCTGTTATTAAGGACCCTCTTGGTCAAGAAAAGAAAGTGGTGAGAATGGGATTATATACAAGTGGTTGACTACATAGGTTTGGGATCAGGTATTGCAGCCTTGGCAAGATGATGAATTGGAAATAGACGAAGAAGACTCCAAGAAGCCTGTGGTGTTCGGCCTGGACGCGGTTGGGTCGGTGGCTAGCAGTATCCTCCGAATGGAGGGTATCCAGGGCCGAGCCAAGGCTTCGACGACGAAGCAAGAGGAAGAGGGGGAGGAGGAGGAAGATGCTCTCGATAAGTACTGCTATTACTCCCACTTTATGTCCACGTCGAGGGTATCAGGTTTATGGACGAGCTCACTGCGAAGACTGGTGCCACCGTTGGAGGAGGCGCTGTGGCGGCGGCTAAGGCGGCAGCAGCGGGCCTTTCTGTGATGGATGCAGCTATGCAGTAGTACATGAAGGGATGTGGGTGTAGTGATAGCTGGGTTGTAGGAATAACACTATAGACTTGGACGAAATCGAGAAACTTACGAAGGCGGAAGAGGAGAAGTCGAAGGGAGAAGGAGCGGTGGTGAAGAAGGAAGAGGAGGAAGTGGTAGAACATAAGGAGCAGGAGGAAGAGGAGGATGATGATGATGATGATGATGCTTATTATGAAGCCTTCCGGAAGGCTATGAAAGAATCGCAAAAGGAAAGTAGGGAGGTTTGGCTGGGTAGTGATGGGAGAGGACGCGGTGTTGGCAGGTGAGAATGTGAAGGAAATATTTGCGCCGGTGTTTGAGAAGGAAGAGGAATTAGCGCCAGCGAAACCGGAAGTGTTTTATGATGAGGAGCATGATGCTGCGGATGATAATGTAGTAGCCTTTCATGTGGAAGGTCGCCGGTTCGATCCTCGGTCGGTCAATTTTTCGCAATTGTTTTCAGGAGGATACCTCTTCCTCGTCGGATGAAGACAGCGACGATGATGATGAACATGAGGGAGCCGAGAAGGTGGTTGAAGGGGAGTCGGAAAAGAACAAAACCGCCATCGTAGTGAAACCGGAAATCAAAGAGGTACTTTCTAGGGTGGCATTCTAGACTGTTGATGTCGGAGTGGTAGGACGATATCAGCCGAATGAGCTATTTCGAATTGGCAAAGCAATTCGTGAGTAAGAAAGAGTTGCCCCCGGTGGACCACAGTAAGATCGAGTATTATCCTATCAAGAAGAACCTGTATAAGCAGGTGAGGTCTGTGATAGCCCTATGTGGCTCGACGTGGTCTTCAGGTTCGGGAGATTTCCAATATGCCGGAGCATGAGGTGGCGCAGCTACGACAGAGTAATGGGGATATCAGAGTTAGGGGGAAGCACGTAAGGAGGGGTATTCGGTGGTGGTGGTAATGGTAGTGCGACATCCTCTTTAGTGCCCTCGACCCATAAAGTCGTTCGCTATGGCAGGCTTGGATGTTCGAATTCTGCGTATGCTGGATAGGAAGGTGAGGCTTGAAGGAGGTCGTGGTTGAGTAGGTAGTTGATTGTCAGGGCATTACCACTCCTTTCCCCATCCAAATGCAGGCTATCCCTGCCCTACTGTGTGGCAGGGATGTGATAGCAATAGCCCCTACGGGCAGCGGGAAGACTCTAGCTTACCTCCTTCCTATGGTCCGGCATGTGATGGCGCAGGTAGCACGCTGAGTGTGGACGGGAGGGAGTTGTTGATGTTGTGGTCAGCCTCCGCTGTTTTTCAACGAGGGCCCGATTGGGTTGGTGATAGCCCCGACCAGAGAGCTCGCCTTGCAGATCAACGAGCAGGCGGAAGCGCTTTGCCATGCAGTTAATTTGAAGTAGTAATTGTGATATTAATTGCAGTCGCGTGAGTTGCATAAAAATGTGTCAGATGTGCGTGTGCGTATGGAGGTGGTATTATGGGTCCTCAGCTGAGCAAGTTGAAGGCGGGTTGTCACATCCTGGTGGCTACTCCGGGGAGATTGATAGATGTAGTTATAGAAGTTGTTGGTGCAAAGGGGAAGAGTAGCTTTGATAGGTCTTGACGCTGAGTAATGGTAAAGTGACGAATTTACGGAGAGTTAGTACGGTGACTTTGGATGAAGCTGATAGGATGTTCGACATGGGATTCGAACCTCAGATCTCTATGGTGAGAAACGGCTCGCTCTCCCTGCTGGTCTATTGAGTTTGTGGTGGCAGGTGCTGAGAAATATCAATCCGGCGAGGCAGACGTGTATGTTTTCAGCGACATTCCCCCCACACGTCGAAGGCTTGGCCCGTCAGAGTCTGTACAAGCCTGTTGAGGTGGTCATAGGCGACTCTGGCTCGGCTGCTACCAATGTAGGAAGGAGGGAGGAAGGGGAGATGGGAGTGTTGCGGTATGGTTAGGTGAAGCAGAAAGTGGTGGTCGTCCGAGATGAAGAGGAGCGTTTCAATAACCTGTTGAAGCTCTTGGGGGAGTGGGCGGACCATGGGAGCATTCTGGTGTTCTTTACCAAACAGGATGATGTTGATGGAATGTAGGGCGACGGTTACAGTAGCTGGGTGATGTGATGGTGGATAGGTATATGAGGTTGTTGGATTATGGTTATGCCTGTCTAACGCTGCATGGAGGGCAGGACCAGCAGGATAGAGATGGTGGGTGAGGGTCTCTTGCTCGGCAACTCATTATCAGAGGTTTGCTTTCGTGTTGATATCAGTGCTGATATATGTGATTATGATTTCAGTGGGGAAAATCATCGGGAAATTCATCGCGGAGGCGTCTTACCGCAGACGTTTTTCTGCAGCTCTTGAGGGCCGAGTGGAAGGTTGAATTTCGGTTTTGAACCTTTGCTGTTGCTATCGGCACTCTAAAGATACATTGTGTGTTACCTGCCAGGAACGATCGACGACTTCAAGAAGAGGAAGCCGCCACCGGCCAATATCCTTCTGGCGACCTCAGTGGCGGCGAGAGGCTTGGATGTTAAGCATTGTATATGTGTTATCAACTATACGCCTCCTGACCATGCTGAGGACTATGTAGGGGGGAGAGGCAGCAGCAGTAGTAGTAGGGATGAGGAGTATGATGGTGTTGGTCAGGTCCATAGGGTTGGCCGAACAGGAAGGGCTGGCAATGTTGGATTCGCATATACGCTTATCAACTCTAGCACTGAGGGGGAGTATGCTAGTGAGCTTGTAGAGGTAGAAAGAGTTATGGTGGTGTGATGTTGGAAAGGAGTGGTATGGTAGGTCCTCAAGGCTGCCTCACAGGAGGTGCCTGCCGACCTTGTGACTCTAGCTCAGAACAACCAGGTGAGCAGGCTTTGGGCTATATAGGGTGTTGGGGAGGAGTGCTCGTGGTAGGTGTCGATCTCGGCGGGACTGGTCGCGAAGAAGAGGGGAGGCTTTGGTGGTCGAGGGTTTACGTTTGAGAGTAGCGAGCTGTCGCGGAATCAACAGCAGAGGAAGGTTGAGATGGACAAGGCGAAGGCGGAGGTGCGGTACTACCTAGGGTGGGCTGAGAGGATATGTGGTGTGTAGGCGGACGGAACGAGGCTTGACAAGTTGAAGAAAGAGGAGGAAGCTGGACGGTCGATGACGGCCGCTCAGGCTGCGGCGAGTGCAGCTGCTAAGGCTGGTGTGCAATCACAGCACAAGCAGCAACCCTCTGCTGGTTCGACTGGTAATGGGAGGAGTTGGTGGGGGTTGGATAAGAGGAGTGGTAGTAGGTGTAAAGCCAGCTCCGCCGCCTGGCCCGCCTCCGCCGGGGCAAGCTCGAAAGCCTCCGCCGCCTCCAGGGCCTCCACCTAAGAAGGCGGCGCCACCCTTGCCAAAGGGGCCTCCTCCACCGGGCGCTAAAAAGAAGGTAGAATGGGTGGTCTGTGGGGGGGTTGGGATTGTTGTTGGTAGGCACCGCCGCCGCCGGCAGCGCCTTCAGCGAAGAATATCGTTTCGAATGAGGCCCAAGCTGCTGTGGCTGCGGCTCGGAACTATAAAGCGCCTCCACCTAAGGAGGTAGGATGGGAGGAGTGAGGATGGAGAGGGTTATGGTTCATTTGGTAGGCACCGGTGATACGTAATGGAGGGAACGCCTCTAGTATAGTAGCTGTGGCGGCCCAAGGTAGCGGTGGGGGTCTCGGCGAGGTGACTAGGGTTTGTGCATAGGTGCTAGTAACTCTGCATTGGCCCTGTTGGGTGGGGATAGGGAGAGCTTTGCTGAGCAGTTGGCTGCGGCAGCTGCTAGTGTGGGGGACATTCAGGTAAGGGAGGAGGAAGTGGGAGAGGAGTGGTATGGTTGGTGGTAGGTGGCAAGGACTAAAGCGGCAGCAGATGAGGTTGTGGAGGAGTTTGAGATCAATGATTACCCTCAGTTGGCCCGAGCGAAGGTCTCTAATAGGTAGTGGGATGGGGTGTTGGTAGTGATGTATAGTGATGGAGGGTGTCAGGGAGCTACGAGGAGGGATAGAGGAACGGACGGGTTGTCGCCTGCAGATCAAAGGGCAGTTCTATCAGAAGAATGCATATGTGAGGGCTCTACTGTTTAGGTGTTGGTCACTGCCTCCCTTGGTCAGGTTCCACCAGGGTGCCGCAAGCTGTATATCGAGATCATTGGTAACTCTCGGGTTTCGGTGAGTGATGGGGACTGCGGACTACCCCTTGTGTGGTAGTTTTGGTTTTGTCATGTTAGTGTCAAAGGGCGAAGGCAGAGTGCCGAGATGTATGTGAGGAGTGGGCTAAGACTACGCTGAACATCCCTCAGGGCCGGCTGATGCGGACTAACATGCCTCAGAGGAAGAGGCGGAAATTGGACTGGTAGATGAACTGTAGGCTGTATTATTGTTATGCTATAGCACTGAAATCTCCGCATATGCCTTGTTCGTTTCCGTATACTGATACCACACCTTTCCCTAATCCTACAACTTGTTGAGGGGTTTCTCGAGAGTACTATTGTTATAATGGTGGTGGTAGAGTTGATGGCGGGTTGTGTTGTGGAGGGGGGAGGAGGAGGTTCATATCGGTCGAAGTTGTTTTCTATAGAACTGTTATGGCTCCACGTCGCGGTAAGGGTGTAGTGAGAGAGAAGGAGAGCGAGGCTAAGAAGATGGTCATGGCTGAGGGGAAGAAGGGGGTGAAGAGGAGTAGGAAGAGTCTTGATAAGAAAGGCAAAGGGAAGAGGAGGCGAGAGAATAAAGATACTGTTCGGGTGGTAGAGTCCGGAGATTCCTCTACGTGTAGTACGACGACCACTGCTGCTGCTGGTTCGGTGGAGGATGAGGTTGTTGGAGCGCCGTTGTTCTTTGAGGACTCACAAGGGGATGGGGGTATTGATGGCAGATTGCGGGAGAGGGAGCACGGGATCAAATATCAAGGGAAGTGGCGGGCGGTGCCACCTACTAGGTATTACTCGGAGAATGATGGTAATGTTGAGGAGGAGGCGAGGTCGGCTGAGGAGATCAAGATTAGCAGTCATGGTGACAAGAATTTCCCAGGCTTTAAGCATCACGTGGAGGCGTGTTCGATATGTGGTTCGGATGACCACAGTGGGAGGTGCTTTGGTAGGAGATGTAATGCGTGTTTTAAGGAGGGCCATCTGATGAAGGATTGCCCGTTACTGCAGCGCGACCGTCGTAGGTGTAACCTCTGTGGGCAGCTGGGGCATCTGAGGAAAGATGTAGGAGGGAGGGTTGGTAGAGGTGCAGGTGATGATGATGATTTTGTCCTTTTTGTCAGTGCATTCTGTTGGAGTACCGTTGGACGCTGGGCTTGAACACGTCATCTCATGGCCACAGTTGTAATCTGGAGTGTATCTCTTGTGGGGGTATTCACTCGGATGGTACGTTGAACTGCTCCCCTTGCCCGAGGATGAAGACGCTATGGTGTACACGTTGTGGTGACACTGGGCATCACGCATGGGACTGTGAGGTCTTCCCGGTTGGAGTGAA